TCTCTTTCCATTTGCGATTCCTCCTCCTCTTCCCTCTTTCTTTTTTTTCTGTCGCTTTTTGGCTACTTCATACAGTCTACTACGAAAATCGTGGCGAGCACGAGAAATGCCGAAACGCAATCAGTCGGGGAATGCGGAGAAGAGATGAGATGAGAGGAGAAGGAAGAACACTCAAGTCAAGAGTCAAGACGGCGGCAAGCATAAAGAAGCATGAAAAAGAAAGATCAGCCACTTTTTCTTCCGATGCCGAGAGGGGCTTAAGGAAGGTAAATAATGGAGGTAGGTAGGTAGGCTGCCATAAACAAACCACAGGGTGTCTGACTAACTATGCGATGCGCAAATCCATCCATCACCTCAGCCCAGAAGAGCTGAGCGTCTGCATCTTCTAGGTGGCGCCCAAGAGACTTCGGGGGAGACACCGAGACAGACGGAAAACGGCAGTGTGAGCCAGCCCAACAACCCCAGAGGACGAAACCGAGAACTCTTTTTCTTCTTCTTCTTCTTCTTCGAGGCGGTTATAAACTTTCTCATTCCTTCTCGGAATATTTCCCCGTTGTGTAGTTTGGGAAATATCTCCGGCAATGACGACTCCCAGTCAGAGCAGAGGAGGGGTTACGAGAAGCCGAGTACCTATGGTAGTATTCGCGCCCATGAGGCGAACTAAATGGCGGATGGATGTGGCGTGGACTGAACCGACATCTAGCTTACAGGTTACTTCCAGCGTCCCGGCTTGCGGCTGCGAGAAAGAGAAACGAAAAAGAAGAAGTAAGGGCGAGAAGTGCACAACGCCTCGGCGGTCACGACACCAAATAGTTTCGGGGGAGGCGTCTGCAGAGTGGCAGACTTTGCGGGAGCTGGGGGGTTTGGCGTTTAGGATGTGCGTATGTAGGCATTTATGAGAGTGTATGGGTATTCTTAGCATGCTCGAGGCGTGACATGGAAGTGGAATGGGAGGAGAGGAAGGGGGATTTGTCTGAATCAATTTCCTCAATCCTAGAGAATTTTGGTGTTGATTACCTAGTTGTTGTTCCTGAACCGGCATTCAAATGACGCATTAATTTCCATGACATGATGGGAAAGGTAAAAAGGCCAAAAGTATACGCCAGTTCACTATAAATGACGGAAATAAACCGAATCACCGGAAAAAATGTTCACGGTGAGGTGTTGAAGACAAGAAAATGAGACGACAACCCCGTGGTCCGGGACGATGTGAACAACAGCTGTATGTCCAAAGTGGAGAAAAAGACCCCAGTTTCTTGGCATTCAATTTTCGGAAGCATCCATTCAGTGTTTTTATTTTTGACTTTTTTTATTGATAGGGCT